GGGGGCTCTTCTTTTTCTGTCTCCATTACTTTTGGAAAAAGCCAACCCTGTGATGTGACGTAATCCTCTCCAACTCATTGTTCCAGCTTTCTCCCAAGTTCTTGAAACTTTCACTCTTAATAATGTCAGTGTGAGATGCCACCTCAAAGTGGCACATAACAGTGGCAGGATGGAGGCAAAGGAGTCTTAACTAAGTGTCACGGAGTGCTTGATAAAAGGAACAAATCCATTTTGAGCAGCTTTTTTTTTTTTCCTGCTGAGCCGGGGGCGGTTGATTTGATGGAAGCTGCTGTGTAAAAGCACTACTCTTTTCTCCAGCCCGCTAATTGGGATGGTTACCATTCCTCCTCTCGTCTAACCCACCCTTCCCTCGCAGAGTTTCCTCCCCTCTGTTCTGCCAGTCGCCTTGTTTTGCCTTCTCGTACCTCTGTACGTGGGGGAAACAGTTTGTGCTTTGTGAATCTTGGCTGTGAAACTCAGGTATAAATATCTTTGGTGACAAATGAGCAGAGCAGCGCCCCGTTGTCCTCTCCATGGCTACTAACACCCCCTCCTCTAGTGGCCCATCACCCAAAACATCACGAGTATAAATCAGTAGCTATCAATAATACAAGCAGTAAAGGCTCCAACACCTTTGAGTAATAACAAGTAATAAGTCATAATGCTATTTTTATAGATAGCTGTACAGTAAGCATAGTGTTACATTTCTTAACCTCAACCTTGGGAAATGTTTACATTTTCTTTCCCAGAGTAAGATCAGGAGCTTGTTGTCAATCTCCTTGCGGTAAGCGTGGAGATGTAGTAAGGATGTAATTAGCTTAGCTTAGCATAAAGACTAGTAGTAGGAATAAGGGAAATGTTTTCTCAAATTCTTGTTTGTAAATGTTTAAATGTTTCAGGAAATGCTACTGTTTCCTGGCTAACTAGATTGTAGTACTCATCTGCACCAACCATTTTTACTATAGGAGAAACCACGGACGCTTAAAGTCACCAGTTAACACGGTCACTCATTAAACTGAAACACCCGATGCTCTGAACGAGCGGATCCTGTGGGAATTCAGTAGAGCTTGAAATTTTGCTGCTGTTACCAGTTTTGGTTCAATGTTTAAAGCTTGCTAAGTCATCTACATGGGAAGGACAAAAACGCTACATCAGTTGCCAACATGCGCACGAATGTTTTTGATCACATTCGCTTTAAAAGATTCTATTAGACAAAGTTAACATAATGAAAACACCTTTGAAAATATATAATGAAGGCGAGCATTTATTTTCAATGAACAATTTTGACTGAATCATTTCAATGACACTGAAATAATTCATAAAAAACACGCAACACAATGTCCTCATCGGGCGGTCATGACAGCACGCTAACCTCAGAGAAGAGAGCGGAAGCTGGTCCACAGACAAACCTCCGATTATTTCTTTCTCACTGCTCACTTCCTATTTTAAGAAGGCTGCCACCAGAGCACCCGCCCTGCCTGATACTGCAGCCTCTGCACAATCGTCCTCATGTATAATACATATGTCCTGAGGATAGAGCTCTTCATATTCACAGACAAACACGCAGCAGTGGGAAGTCGAGAGAAAATAACACAGACCTCATTAGACTTTTACGACGGGTCGTTTGAAACAAAGTGCACTTTGACGTCTATGTCGTGGCAACTACCTATGTCTACATTTCACATAATGTCTTTTTTGGGGAGGGGGGGTTTGGGGGGAAAGAGTGACATGATGTCAGGAAAGGTGTGAGGTCACAGCGTTGTCGTTGCTGGGTTAGTGGGAGAGAAAAGCGCAGCCATCAAAGCCTTTACCTCAGGGAGGAAAATAACGAACCTCTAATACGTTCAACCCAAGTGCAGTCATGGATGAACGGAGTTCTCGCTCCACTTCCTCTCTGGACTACAGATCATATTACTGTGTTGCTTATTACAAGTAAACTGATTACAATAACCTGATGATCCAAACGAGTTTAGAGAAACTGCAAACGTATCCGATTTTCCCTCCATGGACACGTTCTCTCAGTGAAATAATCTGCCTTCAAATGTTTAATGATCTCTATAATCCTGCAAACCTTTAAGGCCATTTGACTCACACAAAAACAAGCACAAGACCTTTCATGGCTAAAATGTTTGGTGTATATAAATAGACCAAGTCAATTTCAAATGATTGCCGTCGGGCACACATGACTCAAATCCCTGCCTCTCTCTCTCTAACAAGGAACCCTGACTGCGTAATCTTACTGCTACTGAAAACCAGTCAGTGATGACTTTCACCAAAAAAAACAAATTCAATTGAATTCAGTGTGAACTGCTTCTTTGAAATAAATTGAAGTTATATAATATATATGTTTTCCCCTGATTTAAGAATATAATAATAATACAGCAAACATGATCCCATGACACGTGGTGACATTTAGGAGGTCAATCTTCTCAGCCAGCTGGACCCCAGCAATATGTCGCACGGTACATTTGAGGGGTCTCGAGATGATTAACAGATGTAGAGAGCATGTTTGTGCTACACGACGTTATGCTAAATATTTTAGACTTCCCTCTAGTCTTTGCTTTTGTTCTCGTAGATTACCTCCTAATTAAATTTCTTTGGGACTTTTATTTGAATAAAAGAAGGAAACAAATGGGTCTGGTAGACATGGGGGTTGGAAGTGTAGTTGAAATGATTTCTTGATTAAATGATCAAAAGAATTAAATCCAGCTTCTCAAATATGAGGACGAAGATCTTGGAGTCTTAGTGAATAAAAAACAGCAATTTCAATTTGTCATAATGCACGTCTTCACTATTGAGACATTTATAGACAAAACAATGAATCCAATAATAAATAGTTGTAGTGGAACATGCTGTTTTAAACGGTCCAAAATTTAAAAAAATATACATACATAGTGGTCTCCTTTAACTACATTGCTGTTCAAAGTTTGATTTGACTGACTGTTAATTTAGATTTATTTATCATAATATTTAATAAGATTTAGCAGGCCAGTGAAGAATAACCTGGCTCTGAATGTGCCCTGTAGTGTAAGTGGACAACCGTCAATCAGTTATGTGTTAAAGACGACGTGTTCTCACTCTCACGCTTGACAAGAATCACTGATTAGCTCATGTCCTCCAAGTCTCAAAACGAACAATTCCTGTGGCTGTGAGACAGAAATTAAATGAGGCTATTGTGTGTTCAGATGATGCAATCAATGTCTCCGTTTCTGTACATGCAACACAAATGATCATAAAATATCTGTATGTAATATCACTGAACAGCTCATCTGGTTCCATATGTCTGAGCCCAGACTGAGGAAGACAAGGACCATCTAGTGGCTACGAGGAGACACACAGCTTTTGCAGCACTTGCATAACGACAACCTTGCTCAGTGCGTTGCTTCTTTACTAATGGAGACAGAAGCATGTCATGCGCTATTTATCCCTCAGCTATACACTTTCAAACACTGCCTTTAAATAGATTGCGCCAGACACTCTGTCTTGAAACCCACTGTCTTATATAACACAAAGCTGGTTCAGACATGATTCACCAATCGAGGACCCTGGCAAAGATTAGAGTGTGTTCGTCTTTGAAAAACACCGGCAGACATTAACACGGCTGATTTGTGTCTGAGGATGTTCAACGCAAGCCTGTCAGATTTGCATCTTTGTAAGTGTCAAAACAAAAATACAATGTTAAAGACTAATACAGCTCTGCAGGTTATCACCACCTCTGTTTTTGTTCAATAAAAAATCCATTGCATCCAGCTTTACATTTACAGTTCTTGTCACTGTTTTTATAGATTAATTTTCCTCATTTTATTTTGTTCTAGTTTGTTCTTGTCAAAAAGTAGCTCGGAACAGATCAAATGCTATTTTTCTTTTGCCCTCTTTGTCCCTTTAAAGGAATAGTTCCACATCTGGGTACATAGGTTTTCAAGCTATTGACAAAACAACAAGATTGACTGCAATCTTATGTCTGTCCGGTAAAGATAAAACTTCAGCCAGCAGCCAGTTAGCTTAGCTTAGCTTAGCATAAAGACTGGAAACCGGTAGAAAAAGCTAGCCGGGCTATATCTGACGGTAAATGAAAAATTCCACCTCCCAGTACCACTAAAGCTCACTGTGATTTTGTGTTTTGTACGAACTAAAGTGAGCTTCAGAGGTGCCGCTATGCAGATTTTGTTACCATTAAACAGTGCTAGGCAAGCTATTAATGCTAAGCTAAGCTAAAAGGCTGCAGCTTCGTGTTTAGCGAGGTGACCAACACCTCAGCCACGAAGAGAATGATAGTATTTCCCTTTCTTTCTTTTCAAATACTTTCTCGCTTTATTTTCAATGAACTCATCTTCTCAGCCTCTCGTTCATTGTAGCACCACTCCACCTGAATACATGAATCCGATATAACAATGACTGCAGTGTATCATATGATGTCAAGTGTGTCACACACGCACGCTAAATGATTGATTCACATTCAGGCTACAAATGAAGTGTGCGTGTCAAATAAAAGACGTATCCAAATAGGTCAGTGCCGGTGTTCTCCTGTGACTTGCTCTATGTTGAAATAAAAGACTAAACCTGCCTTCCATCCGCCCCGGTAAACGCCTTGTGATGGTGAGTCGGGCAGATGGGAAACAGAGATGCATCAAAAGAAGAAGAAAAAGAGAGAGAGAGAGAGAGAGAGAGAGAGAGAGAGAGAGAGAGAGAGAGAGAGAAGTGGGAGGCTGCGGCTGTGTAGATTATGCAGACAGTTGACTGTTTCACAACCCTCCCACGGAGAGTGCTGAACGGGAGCTTCGCTTTGATCACCTCTCTGGATTAACTGACAGTGTGTGTCAGTGTGTGTGTGTGTGTGTGTGTGTGTGTGTGTGGTGCATTTGTGTTTGTTGGTTCGGAGGTGAAGAGGAGTCTGTGCATTTGGCTCAAGCTTACTGCGGTGATGACGAGGAAATCTCTGTGTTAATCTAGTAAACAAGTGCAATTCACCATTGTTTCTTTTGTGGATGTTTTTGGAGAAATAAAAAAATAAAAAAAATAAAATAAAAGAGATTATGAACAGCAATGACCTTGAAGCCGTCCCGTCTCGCTATCTGAATGCTAGCACAGAGAAGAAATCTTTTTTTAATTTGATTCAATTCCCACTTAAATGCAGGGCCTACCGTCGTCAGCCGAGGCTTCGCTGCTGTAGCCGTCATAATCGGCAGTCAGAGGGCTGTACTTCTGCCGGCTCTCCCAGCAGAAACCTCCTGCGTGTTTGGTATTAGCGGCCGCCTTGGCTCCTCCCCGGAGGCCTTGGGAGCGGCTGACCGCCTCCTGATACTGACCCATCACTTCATCCTCGCTGTCCGATGACGAGCCCTGCAGGTTGGCGTCAGAGTAGGCCTTGTCTGTTTGGAGTAAAGAGAGATGGCCTGGTTACTGCGGCCCGATGCCAATCACTGTGATGCGTTTGAGTGGCTCTTTCGCAGACATTTTGAGCTCTTTAAGAACACTTTCCTCAGGGAATTACCCACAATTCATAGAAATGTGATGGTAAACACGGGGTTACCAGCGGAAGCCGGAGACGAAAGAAAAAAAAAGGTAAACAAAGAGGACGGCACATGTGTTTAGCCTGTCATATTCAATTTCCACAGAGACATTAAGGATTAAAGATGGGACATAAAGACACATGAAATCAGAGAAATGGAAGCATAGACGATATTACACACCTGGTTTATTTTCATTTTGTTATTAAAGCTGTTTTGACAAAAACACGTATAGATTATTTGACAAATAACTCATCTCATGAGGCAAACCTGGAAGACGTTCAAATCAGGGAGTAAAACATATAAAATAAACAATTGTACATAACATGTTTTGACGTCGTTGCAAAGTGCTGTCTCATTCATATTTATACCATTTCAAGCCTTTACAGTCCTTCACACTTAACCATTTAAGTGTTAAGTGGTCCATCAATGCCCCACAGACTGTAAAAGATCAGGTGGACGGGCAGCCTCTACTGGCACCAAACCTGTACTTCACAGGAAGTCTGCTGAACTGCTTCATCAAAGGCAAACAGAAAAAAAGATTTCAAGGACAAATCAAGTGTATAATTTCACCAGACTTTGTCTAGGAGTGTGTCACTAAAATGGGCTCCATTATCCGGACGATTAGTTTTGTCTATTGGTATTACTTTTCTTTTCTAATTTTACTCTTTTTTGTTTGACTCTATTTGGCTTTTTATTGTTCCTTCGTTGTTTTTAAATGTCATGATTCACTAAGTCATCTTATGTAAATTGCCGCTGTGTGTTGAAGCTGCCAGACGTGAAACATTATGTTTAAATGTTTTATTAATCCCATAATATCAAACTAATTACAATTATTGTGGTCGTGGCATATACATTTAGGGGGCAAAAAGATATGAAGTTATTGTTTTGTAAGTATGAAATACATTCATCCATTCACTGCACCGTAGTGTTTGGTTGTGGCAGCTGTTGCTGATTGAATCATTCATACGGGGCGCTACAGATCATTCAGTCACAGCTTTGTTAAGGTGCTGCAGTTAAAGAGACATCTGCACAACTCACCCTGGGATGCTATTTTCTGTATTCTAATTCATTTCTCCTGCCCCCAAATGATCTAAATTACCCTTCCACTGTTTTGTACATGTTGAATTCACTGAGAAAATTACAAGATGTCGTGATTCATTTTGTTTTATAGTTCTGGGTGTCATGACACACGATGTCATCCATTCTCAAAAGAGGATGTTTAGGGGTTTTTTTCCCCTTGTCAAGTGACTCTGAGAGGCTGAATATACAGTATATGGGTCCTGGACACATACAATTACATATATCTGTGATGTTATTCCAGGGCTTAACTCAGAAGGTGATTCTTTGCTTTGTTAAATCCATGTATCAGGCAGGAAACAACATTTGTCATGTGTGGTTCAGTTTCTGAACGCCTGCAGATACAGAATGTTTCGTATGCGACGTGTTTACGGTCACAACCCAAAACTGATGGTGCCAGATGGTAAAGCAACGCCACAAAATCATTCGACCCCATCCACTCTTCTTTGTGGCACGATGGCACATTGAATCGGACATTCTTGAGTCACTGATATTTGCACACAACCACAAACATAAAAATAAAAGAAGGGATCAATCATCACGAACGTTGCCTCAGAGCTCTGCCCAGCCTGTGTGTAACAAAGCACATTATGTAACAAAGTGCTTTGTTATGCAACAGAAGTATATTAATAGAAATATATTGAATACATTAATAAATTGTGGAATGGAAGTTGGTTGGATATTTATAATGTATAAATCTCTGTTAAAGCTAAATACTCTGTGTATTTAGTGTCTCTGTGGTGGTTTCTGAGGCTGTAGTGACAGTGTGGTGGACTGATTTGGACTTCTACTGAGGTTTTTCTCATGTTTGGCCCACATGAGGGGAAAGGAAAAACAAAAAAAGGAAAACAATGAAGAAATCTGAAAAGCAGGTGATGATCAATCAATACATTCTAGTATGTCAATAAAACAGTCACTCCCTTCTTCACATCCACCGACCACTACAACGCCACCACTTCACGTTTGTTCCAGCAAGGGGCAGCAGAGCTTTAGTTACTTCACATTCCGGGCGCAGCCTGAACAATCTCTCAGTCTTCAAACTAACTGTATTTCCAAAATGCATTTCATTTCAAGAGCATGAAGTAAAAAGAATGAAAAAATATTATGCGTCTATCAAAAACAGCAGAGAAATATTCTTTCTCCAGACTAGACTGCATATTTAACACAATCAATGAAAAATGTTTTTGTTGACATCAGTCATTGCACAAAAAGATAAAGAGGAACCAAACAAAGACACCAAGAACAATCGTGCCTCCCTTTGTTTTTAACTGAATGTTTACCAGGTGGTAGAGCCAACTCCCTGTGCGGGGCTCCCTGGGGCCACCAACCTTTTACACTCCTGAAGCCCTGCGGCTGGATGACAAGTAAACAGGCCTTACATCTGTCAGCAACGGTAATCCCTTCATGGGATGAGAAAGACTAGTGCCGGTGGACAATGTCCCCATGCAGAGGTCAGGCCTCATGGTGCGGGCGGTTGCACGGGTCCATGGTTTTATGGATCGGCTGGACGACACAAATGACTTGCCTCTAGGTTTTTCTAGGGCCTGGGAGGAGGCCAGGGTTGGATATCGGACCAAGCACTCAAGAAGGGCCATGGTACCGCCATGAATCTGTGCCCTAAACTGCAAGTGTAAAATATATTTTAATATATGTATCCTTTAAATCTATTAGGTATAAAACACTTTTGTTGCACTTAAGTGCCTCTACTTTTGGTTAATCTTGGACATAGTCGGATATCAGTCCTGTCCTCAGCAGTCAGATGAATGGGGAACATATCTGAATAGACAACTCAAAGTGTTACAGCTTCAAGAAGTCAGGCTTTTCTATTTCAAATTTGCTAGTGGCCTAAACTCACCAGAAACAGTGTAAAGTGGGGTACATAACTAAAGTGGAAACTAACATGGGCATATACATCACAATTGGGTATAAAAATTCCATTCGCCTTGGGAAATAATGACACGCCTCCAAGATGTATGTGACATGTTGAAATATGTGCAAAATTTGAGTGCAAATAAAAAGTGCACAAAAGTGCAGGTAGGTAAACACGGGCTCACCTTGCAGCTCATTCTTTTTCCTGAAGTCATCAAGGCACTGAAGGCTCCCTGGGTTCTCTAGAGCCAACTTGTTGTTGAGGTACCAGAACAGGAGGGTCATGAGGATGATGAAGAGTCCGATGGCTGTCAGAAACCCCAGCACCTCTGGAGAGACTGAGACGCAGAAAACCAAGTTAAAGTCGCTGCAGTCAAATATCAGCACACAAAAGACGTAGGCATAATTGTGGTCAACAAATTAGATCATGGCTAAATGTATTTCCCAAAATGTTGCGCTGTTCTTTTAATTTGAAGGGAGACATGTCAACAAAGTATGCTAACATGAAAATGTTAGCATACAGGCAGCAAGAATTCTGGTGCTGTAAATGCATACATTGTGGTAAACAAGACAACTCATTTTGACTTATCACATTTCCTGCGAATACGGCTGGACATACATAGAGCGTAAAGGACGGTGGAACCAGTCTCATTAGTTCAGTGAGTTAATGTTAAATATTACAATGAATGTGAGAGAGAGAGAGAGAGAGAGAGAGAGAGAGAGAGGTTGTGTCACTGTAGAGACACAACTGGTCTGTTGCCATAGCAACAGGTTCAGGTGCAGCGTCATTACAGACTCCACAGGCGAGTCAGATCTCATTAAACGCTACACTGACTGGCACACTTCAGCAGATACGGTTTGGTTCGGAATACAAACACGATCACATATGCAGACAGGATTTGTGACAGCAGAACGAACCCTGTTGATGAAGACGATCTGAGGGAGTTCTTTTTTTCCAGATGTCAGACATCTGTATGACCTTCCACCTCATATTTGACCTTCCGACACCCTCGAGGAGGTGCTATGTCATCATGGGGCGCGGTTACAGGGAAGGCTTCCCGTCTTAGCCATCAGAACGCCGTTTGTCTCTCTGATAGTAGATCAACCCGAGCAATCAAATGAGCTTAATATCTCCAACCGCTGCCGACAGTTTAATGTAACCCTTTCACACTTAAAATACTGACAAAGTAATGAAGTGCAACGATTTCAATTCATGGCCCTGGACAAAAGCTCAGGAGCAGTCAACCTTCAATTCCCGGAGATTGACTGTCACCTCCTGCAGTAATCTGGGCCACAGAGGAGGTCACAGAGGGTAAATGATTGCTCACAAGCTGTCGCACATTAGAAGACAGAAGTGCTCCATAATACTGAAAAGGTCCCTATAAAGGATGCATGTATCAGCATGTTGGAGGAGCATCAGTTCCAACTGCCGTCACGTCAGAGCCGCTACACACAGACGGGATCTTTGTCACGTGTGTAGAGTTTATTGTCCAACTATAGTAGGGATGCACTTGAAAGATCATTTTCCCAGCTATATTTTCAAATCCACCGGCTATGACTATTGTTTAGAGAATGTTACAGATCCAAGAGGAAACTGACAGAAGGGCGGGACTCAGAGAAAAGCTCTTAGCTACGAATCTATCTGCTACTTCAGCACCACGGACAGCGCCACGGATTTATGGACACACAGCACAGTTAGGCTGCTGATGTTTCGGAGCCATGGATTTAAACTTGCGGAAACTCCAGTCAGATAAATGAGCGGTGAGTCAGGCAGACTCGACTTATTCTGCCCCTGCACTCTCTCCGCTCTCATTACCCAGTCAGGAAAGTGGAAGTAAATGGTCCCCCATTGAAGCCATTTCTGTTGAGTGTGACTCATTGCAAAGACTTATGCAAGACGATTGTGTCTTTGCAAATGACTGAAGAATGAAATAAAAATTGCCACGTCATGTGTGTGGTCAGTAGGGACAATGTGGGGGATCAGCACGGGTGCAAATACAGTGAAACGGTGAATTATGGGATGAAACGGCGAATACGGTGTCTAGGCTTCTCAGTGTTGCAGAGGAGATTTGTATTCACAGTCTAACATGCAGGCTGCACCGAGGACTTTATGTGTGAACACTGCATACAAACTTTATCACACAGAGTGTCACAATCAGGCTTTGCCTTGGGTGTTTTGTGTGTAGTTTTCTGTAGTTCCTCACCTCCTTCACCTGTCCCTAATCAGTTCATTCAGTGCACCTGCCAGTCACACTCTCCCTCATCAGCACAACTCTCCTCACCTGTTCTAGTCACTATTTAAACCCCTGTCTTTCACTCACTCACTGCCAGATCATTGTGTTTGTTTTCTACCTACCCGCCCGTTTTGCTCGTCCTGTTCCCGGGTTTTCAGCATGCCTGTTCTGCCTTGTCCAGCTGGATTTTCCCCCTCGTTTCTTGTCCTTGGATTCCCTGTGTTTTTTTGGTTTGTCATTAAACCCTTTTTCTCTTCACCTGACTGTCTGCATTTGAGTCCTCTTTTAATGTCCCGTGACACAGAGTTTGTGATAGAAAAAACAAACTTATGCAGCACCGCTCTGTATTCTCTGCAGGGGAGGATGACGATGAGAGGGATTTTGGATTGTGGAATGCAGTGAAAAGGGGAAAGGATGCGTCCACTTACACATGACAATACAATGAAACGGTTGAGAATGATTAAACAAAGTTGAACTCTTTAGGATTTAAAATAGTCAAGTCAAGTTTAGTAATATAGTTCCTTCTTGTACAAATACTGAAGGGGAATCTATCCATAAAGTTGAGCAATTTATGAGAGAAAACAAATATTCAAAATCAAAGAAACGGAGGCCGATGTATACTGATTCTCAGCTCCTAAATAAAACTCCCATAATGCAACCAATGGCATCATCTGGTTTGACTCTCCCTGCCTGATATATGTCCACATCTTTTAAACTACATGTTTGTGGTGCATGTTTGGTTTTCTTTTATAAATGTTTAGTCTATGAGCATAAGCTGAAATAATGTCAATGATAACATCAGGGATATTATCTCAGACTTTAGAAAGCTCCCTCGAGAACCACAAAAGACATGATACCACTGATTGAACTAAAGTGTCATTAGAGGAGTGATACAGTTAGCTGGTAATAATTTACAGAAATCAAGTGTTAAAATAAAAAATGAAACAATATGCGCACAGTAAATACAGTATAGTTCTCGATCCTCTACATCAACAATCAGTAGTGCAAACGTCTCAGACATTCACTTTATAATAAACTACTGAAGGGTCATATAAGCAAGAAGTGACAGGTGATGAAAGAGATATTATAAGAGCAAAGGAGAAGAAAAAGAAAAGGTACAATCGATCTTTTTTTTGTGCAATTAGAAAGAATAAATCGCTCACTCCTTAAATTACTGCTGAGCTCGTTCACCATGATGTATTAAGCTCTTTGCAGCACGGAGATTACTGTATGCAAAGTCCATTTAGTTAAATTAAACCAAACGACAGCCTCGGTACAGATGGAGGATAATGAGCTCATTTGGCAAGAAAGTGTACTTAGATGACGTGTTATTGTCCGATCAATGATGGTGATGATGTTTTCTGTTATTTATAATGCCCACATGATGCCTGCAACGATTAACTGGACTCAGCCAACACTTCCCTGCCTGCACGTTAGCATCTGTAGTGTAGTTAAAGGCTGGTTATTATTATTTTACACACATATGTGATTAGTTGTATTTATTTCATTTCTCAGTTATAAAATCAAGGAGCTGCAAACTGTTCTTTAACAGTATACCACTGTTAAATACTAGCAGCCAGAGTCACTATTTGCACTTAAAGAACCAGAAAAGAACGCTACATAACCTGCTGTGCTCTTATTTCCGCAGCTCCTGTTTGACTTTCAATGAAAGATTATCGAGTTATCGTCTGAAAAATGTGCCCGGGCTGTATAACGAGGCTTGATTATTGTCAGGAGCCCACGATGTTTGGTCACATGGCGCTGGTGGGACCAGGAGGCGCAATCCCACAGGAATGCATGTCTGCTCACACATTGTACCAGCTTCTCGCCCGCCGACTGAATTATTCACGGCACAGATGGAGCAGGATCCTGCTCTCTGTAACTCCCCAACTGGTTCAAACAGGGAGAAGAATATTCACTCACAGAAACCTACAGACGGCTTCTTTCTTTACTTTTGGCTTCGTGACTTGAGACTACAATATTCCCTTTTCTTGTTTTCCTCCATGTTTGTATTCAACATTGGACTTGGTGCCAGCACTGCAGTAAAAGTGACGTAACACGGTGTCAAGTGTTATTTCTCATTTTCCTAATTCATTTTTACAAAACAGAAACTCACTACATGTGTGAGTCATGAGTGTTTAGATTCTCACCTTGCATACAAGCTGCTGCTCATTTAGTATTCAAACCTGCATTTACTAACTGGAACTAATTGGTAATAACCCTGATAAGTCAAACATTGTATGATTTTATGAAATAAGACCCTATAAGAACAATAAGATGTTTTAAAAAAAGTACAAATGGCAGACATCATTTTAAGGACATAACTACTGCAGCCACACACATATGTTCAGTTTCAGCTAATGCAACTTATTTAAACAAATCCACTGTATTCCATTACGATACTGAGAATAGCCCTTACACAATGTGTGGGGGACGGACTTTGTTACACAAGAAGCTCAAAGATCAATAATGCGTGAAAGCAGCGACCTTGCAGTGGTTACAAACTGTATCACACGCATGTGTACGAGTTTTTAAAGTGAATGTGTCGAACAGATTTGGAGGTTAGATGAGAACTGTGAGAACATGAGAATAAAAAAAATGCCTCAATACAGCACAATAACTCAGGCTTCACATTGCTCCCTCAGCATGATGATCACGGTTAACTGAGGAAAGGCACTATGGCTGGATTCAACTCCTGATAATACGTTGAACAATTTAAAATATATGAATAAAATGTAATGATGCAAGAAAGAAAATGAGATCATCAGATGTCCTCGTTGTTGGGAAACTGTCGGTATTATATACTGTGGTATTTGTCATCAAGGAGAACTGAACACAATTCCCCGAAAAATAAAAGCTGCAGAGTTTAATACAGACTGTGTTCAGATGAAAGTCAGTTTTGGTTTCAGGCAATTTAGGTTGAGAATAACCTGCTGCAACAACTGATTTGCACGAGACGCTCAGTCTGAAGGTGGAAACCAGATATTAAAGATTAACTGGTAGACTGCCCAATCACCGGTCACCATCCAAGGACCCAATGAGCCTTCCTTGTGTTTAGCAAATGGACGGTACTGTATGTAGGTCACAGAAAGGTTTCTGCACTGTGCATCCGATCCGACTGCTTCGGCCCCGACACCGGCAGCCATCCCTGAACTGATCCAGAGCACTGATCCGATACCAGGGTTTGATCAATAAACTGTACTGGGATCATTCTTTTATGTGAAGGCAACATCCAGCTTCACTCAAACATTGCGTTCCTGACTTTGCAAAACAAATTGTTACAAATAAATACACTGAAATAAATGTACTGAATTATTATTTATTGTTAAAATAACTACTCGGGCAGCAGCAACTTTGTAAAAGAAAATCCTCGAAATTAACAGGAATTGCAATTCTATTTGCATTAAATTCTATTTAATGTAGCAACAAATTCAAGTAAAATGTATACAGTAGAACTGAATCAAATAAATGGGCTCCATTGTCACAAATACCCAGACCCCCAATAACCTGATATTGATATCAGTGCATCCCTAATCCTGACAGGAAGAGCAGGGGGTCTCATCCCTACAACTGGGAAGCCTGGACTGGATCTGACGGCTGTCATGTTGGTCTGAAATGAAAGTACAGTGGCTACAAATACTGTACATCTTTAGTCAGAGCCAATAAAATGCCTGTTTATAATATCACCATCATAATCAGGACAATCAAAGATGACCAACATTACGAATGAGAGCCGGTGTGCTTCACACACACTGGAAGAACTCCATTCCCCACAATGACCGGGAGCACTTAGAGAACCCTCAGGAGCACGAGGACATTGCCGGGGAAAAGGACATCTGGGTTACGCAACTGACCTGACTCAGGTATGTATTTGGCTATGAAAGATGGATGGCTGGTTCATGATGCTGTGCTGATGCTAGGTTCTTATAGTTGTCGGTAATGTTTCGGTGTGTGGGTGTAGGGATATTTCTGACGGCATTTGCTCACACGTATTGTACGTGCAGAGAACCTACTACACATATGTGGGAAACTAATGTAAATGTGCTTCAGTCTGAAGTTCTGGGAGTTGCTTTATTGTCTCTGCTGGGTTCTGTCTGCATGGAAACAGTTGCCATGTTGAATGTCAAAAAGCACAAAACCATCTCGAAACCACAAAAAGCACCCACACACTCTGCAGGCAGTCCATAAGCACTCTCACCAGCACTCCCATACACACTCCCACACATGTTCATACAATGCCTCGAAGCGCAGTACTTACTGGGGAGCCACACACCTGTCCACACACACACACACACACACACACACACAACCAGACAGACCATTCACTGTGATAAGCACCCTTGTTTCAGAGGGTGCTCATCACAGTGTATGTTTTGGTGAGAGAGAGTCATCTCCATCCACAATATGAACACTGCCATGATAAAGAGAGGCACTGAGTGCTCTGACTCAACATGCAAGATTGTGATTATTCTAACCAGCCCGATTTGCTAAAAGCTTGTTATTGCAGAACTTTATATTTGCCGCACCATTGTGACCTTCAATACTTCCAGTTACATAAAAAAAACAGAATCACATCTATTCACTTTTGTGTCATTACAAGAAGCACAACATGTCCTGACAGTAAACGTTGCAAAGCTACGAGTTTAGAATTATCAATGTAGTGAAGTATGGTTCATCCATTTAGGTCTTCTTTGCTCAACTAATTCAAATAAATCCACAATATTATGCTACGGTGACACTTCAGATTACGGCCTGCAGATGACAGTGTACATTTTTTTGTATATACAAGGTATAAATTAAAACATAATGAATTACAGCGTAAGTACCTCCTGAACAATTACTGTACCCCGTACTTGTTACTCGGTAACAAGACAGAGTAAAACAGGCTGACACTGAAATAAAATGAGTTATTACGTTTAAACAATGTAATGGTAAAATGTGTTTATTTCCAGAGTACTTACGTATTATTAATAGTGCGTAAATCATTTTTTGCTGGGGCAAAAAATATTACGCAACACCTGTGAAGAGGTTGTACACTTATAGTTATAGTTTTGAAACAGTTACAGTACGTGTATGTTTTTAAAATGGTTCTGAAACACTGGGGAACTGTAATGTAGTGTTTGGGTCTATTTTTATGTCCCTGCGTAACACACGTTTGTAATTCCCTTATTTCCTGTACTTCCCCTAAACCTCCAAATAGATGCCAGTGTTTAAATAGTTCCCCCATATGTACAACATATTACACTGTATTTTTGATGTCTGTAATTTTAAGTGTGACCATATTGGCCATGTACCCCAGTCTGACTAGAGCTTTAAGGTCTGAAGTTTATTAACTTAAATATGTTTTTCATTAATTTACACTACAATTAAAGTCACTCAAATAGCCTCAATCTCCCTGGCAACAGTGTAGACAAACTAACAATGTGTAAAATGAAAAAAGCAATCTGTCATGCCTGGAATTTTTATTTTTTTACTTGGTCCGCCTTGAGAGAATATGACATTCATTTAGACATTTTTAAGTGTGCAGTTCTAGACAAAAACACAATGGACACAAGCAGTGAACACGTACAACAAAACAAGGCTCAAACAAACGGGGTCAGGGGTGTGGGGTCAGAGGTCAACCTCCCAGAGCTCTGATCTGCCCTACCTTTTCTGACGCAGATCAGCTCATGCACTCCACAGTTACGCTCGCCACCTGGAAAGACAATGCAGTTTCAATGAGCCACACTGTGACGGCGACAGACAGGAGACAGAACAAACATCACGGCAACACGTGTGTGTACATATGTTGGAACATTTAGACAGATTCAGACAGACGCATGAACAACACAGGTATAACACACTGACAGAGACTGGATGGTCACAGTCGGATGGTGTGGGTGGTGTTCAAGCTGCTTGATTTTAAAATAAACTGGTTCGACTCAGAAACACTGAAGACATTTAAGACTTAGTCAAACAGCCTGTACATGATGGCTAAAATGACTGAAATGGCACCGGCATGGAGTTTAATTATATTTTTTAATAATAACTGGAAAGCTCTAAATGCCCACATATGGTCCCCAAATGTTTTAGGAGCATCTGATGACAGCAGACTGACAGCTCCAGCTTGATTGGTGTTCTTCTGTGGACAGAGGAGCTTTACATGATTGAAGGCTGGTTTGGTTTTTTATATCCACAAATACACAACCACAGGGTCGTGTCACGCCGAGCGCACCCAAAGAGCGCCTGAGCGGACACCATCCCTTTATTTCTGGCGCTGTCTGCTGTTACCCTCAAACATCGCAGTTCGAGTTACACTGCGCATGTGTCTGACCGCATAGCTCAAGACCCTGCCCCAGCCTCCATTAAATAGCATGAGCAGCCGCTTAGCTTAGCACCAGGCAACAGACACGAAGGCCTGAGATCCTCCGTCCACGTGGATTGGATCTTTGTGTCATTAGACTCCACAAAGCATTGTTCTAAAGCCGGTGATGGAATTATTCTCATCTTTCTTCTTCTAATGTTTAGTTTGATGATTACATAAAAAATCAAACACAAGGCTGGACTGACGACTGAACTTTGGAGCGATATTATCGGGCAGTAAAGACTGTCGTTAACATTTAAAGATCTATTAACAGAACTGAACATTATTGTATTTGATACACACCGCATGTTTGTACTGTATGCTGATATCGTATTTACATTAACATAGCACATATTGTTGCTGTGGTTAAGTTTTGGATAAATGAACATTCTGCAGGACATGATATGGGTTCAGTCCTTATCCTACTTTTCAAATTCAGACCTTTGCAGTGGGCTGAATTGGGCCTTCTGTCAACTGCCAATAGCATCAGGCACAAGTGCTTTAAACTAAATGCTAACTTAAGCATGTAAATCTTTTCCCTTTGACAACACTCACATGCTGATGTTTAGCAGGTACAATGTTTACCATGTACACCATCTTAGTTTAGCGCGTTAGCATGCTAATATTTGCAGATTAGCGCTACACACAGCGGATGGTGCACGCATTTGGTCATAAAGGACAAAAACAAAACTTGATGATGGCACTTGATGACAGAGTTAAGGGTTACCAAAGTGATTCGTATTCATCCTAAGGGAGACAGGAAAGTGTGCACCAAATCCATCCAGTAGTTGTTGAGATATTTTACCCAACACCACAAATATAAAACTCATGTTAGCACCAGAAAAAAACTCTTGGGATCGCAAAGAGTCTTTAGGATTCATCCTCTGGGGAACATGAATAAAAAAATGTTTAAATGTTTAAATTTGAAAGAAAACATTGATTACAATGTTTTGTAGAAGAAAGACGATGGCTTCCAGACAGTAACTGTGATTCAGAGCTGTTACTCACACTTGTGAGGGCCTCCCAGTCTCTGAGCTCTGCCTCTGGGATCCGTCTACAGGTTGAGCTTTCTAATAGCTCGGGCTGCCTTCAACTGTGACCGCTTGTGTCAGATGTGCACAGATTGCCCAATTTTCTCTTTTTTACCGTCTGAAAATCTCTCCTGTACGACTAGGAGCTGAAAGCAGAGTTGTTGCTGTCGTCCAGCAGATCGATACAGCAGCTGTGTGTGGGAGGAAGCTCCCTGTGCTCTTTCACTCCTCTTCCACTCACCACACACACACACACACCACACTTGTCAAAAATAACATTTTCTTGCATGTGCTCTTGAACACGGTAACACGGTGCTGGTTGCTCATATCCCATCGCAAGCAATCTCTCTCCCATCTGTTACATAGAAGTTCCTTTAACCAGCACTCAAGTTTCCTATGTAGCCTAACATACCCCCCCCCCCCCCCCCAATGTCTCGTCTTAATCATCTACGTGCGTATATCGAAACATATCCTCTGATGCTAATTAGGTTGTCAAATGAATGTGTTAATGGGAAAATGTCTGCGTTAACAAACTTGTCATAAACACATTAGAAAAATGAATATGAACAGAATGACACATTATACTCATTAATACATAATGTAGGCAGCAAAGTTGTTGCAAAATCCAATCAACTCGCTCATTGACTCCCTCCAAACACAGTAGTTAAGAGTCAGCGACTGGTTTTAATATTCACTGTAGATCTTAAAGGGGAGCTGTGTGAAGCTGTTGTTGACAAGGTCGGAGTAATAATAAAGTTGTTGCCGTCTTGGTGCGGACTGCGGAGCCTCTGTGTTATTATTTTAGTACCCTCCTAAAGTGCAGGTGCAACGTAGCCCACCAATGAAAATAAGTGCATTAAAGAAGGCTCTACTCAGATGGAGTACTTAAATATGCATTTGAAACCAAGCACCATCACAAAAGTTGTCTCAGAAACATCCTCAGAGTTACATTAACACAAACAAGAATAAGCAGAGAAAGATGAATATTGTCAGACGGACAGGTGATCACACATACTGTACGTGTGGGGGAAGTTTCAGGTGCTGCAACTGTGATGAAATAATCCTGCACACTGTGTATAATGTTAGTCAAAGAGCTGTCCCTCTACCTAGGGGACACCAGTGTCTCTTAAAACCTTGTCAGTGCACGGAGAGGTTCACACGATCTCTTCTTGTGCGTCTGACAGAAATCAATTTGAAGCACCAGTTGTGATCAATACGTGCAGATACTGAGCTCTTCTCAGCCTGTGCAAGCTCAATCAAGGTGAAGTCCGTGGCCTCACAGTCTTCCCTCATGCAGACGTCCGGGGGCCGGGCTGGCACTATTTATTTTAGGATTTGTCCCAGTTTCTTGGGTGCCGAGGCCAACGCGTCTGGGTTCAAGAGAGAGGGATGGACCGAGGCCGTGACAAAGAAAGTTGTGCTGGAGAAATTGACCTGACAGATATTTCGGGTGTTTGAGGTCAGCGGAGAGAACGTGCTGTGAGAGAAAAGAACAGCGGAAACAAACTTTTGGTCTTGGCCTCAGTAAGTTTTAAACTCAAATGCAAGGCTACTATTCACTCGTGTCTGGCCCTCTACTCTGTTCGCCTCTGCAGCTAGGTGCTGGGCAGGTATAGCGTTAAGTGAGTTCTGCTTTCTCGCTAAAAAGCAGCTGCATGCTAATGCTAACGAGAGCCGAGTGAATCAAAACAATGAGCTGAAAGACGCTAAAATGCTACATAAACCTGAAGTGGACTGGAGAGTTGGGTGATCATTCTGTCTCTTTGACATCAAACGTAACATAAAAATGTTAATCAGCGCAGCTTTATGATTAATAACTAAAAATAGGCCTTCAGGAAGAGTTTAAAATAGACTGGACATATAGCAAGCTATCTAAATGTGCAGTGTTTCAGCTTGTGTTGCTTTGGGTTACTTCGTACCCTCCCGATAATAGCAATAATTGATTCACCAGCCAAATTTCTTGTCGGCGGCTGTTAACAGAACAATCACTCACTCTCTTCATTGGAAGCGGAAGAGGGAAGGTTTGTGTTCCATCAGGTTGTTCATTAAACGTGTTGGTGTTGTCACAGAGAGACTTCAGGATGAGCTCCAGCTAAGCCAGTTAGCAAATGGAGGACACACTACGTCAAAGATTAGCCAGCTTACTCGACGGCTCAGCTGTCAATTCATAAAGCAGCAACAGTGTCCTAACACACTGTACGGCAGTACGACACACACTGTTGCACTGACGTTTCCTGTGAGGAACAGTCTAGCGTTTGCTCTACATTGCCAGCACTGCCCGTCGCTTTGGGCAATGGAAAAACACTTTCAAAGTAGCCCAGTTGATATCTTATTTTTAGAACGGACAAAGCCTCACATACCCAATTTAGAAGCAGAATATTCATTTCACAAATACTGTGAAGTAGTAACAATAGCTTGAGCCTACAAACAAGCAGGCAGACAGCAATACAGAAGGAAAAGATGTCAAAATAAAACATGAGAAATGTGCATTTGAAGTTTTTTTTTCTTCCAGCAAATCTGTTATTCCCAAATCAAACTCAAACCTCAGTGTCAAATGCTTTTTTTCAGACTTTCTGTGTATATTTCCGTCGGGACAAATTCATCAGCGTTTGAAAACAAGCGTTGGATTAACACTCACTCCCGCTCTGAGGAGGATGAAATGATCCGAGCTCAAAACATCCCTCTGTTTCTTGCGATTCGACTCCCAGCCTCCCTCGCCATGTGTCAACATGAGCTGATCAATAAGTCAACTGCGCACAATTCCTCCGAGCAGCAAATCCTTCGCTTTGTCTCACAGCCAGACAACAAGCCCTGAGCCGACAGAAACACCAAATATTAGGACTCACACTTCTTTCTAGGGATCATTTTCCAGGACATGCTGCAGTGATGATCTAGCTAGTACGACAGACAGGGGTCGTGTGTCAATGAATCCCTTTTTTTCTTATGAGTTATATAAACCATTTCTACCTGAACACGATTAAATGTATATCTTGAATATCAATATCTGACACAACGGTCTATAATCTTACCTATACTGACAAACCTAGACTGAACTTTTCACACCTAAACATACAATTCAAGGTTAGAGACAAGTTTGCAAGGATTTCTAACTGTCACTGACTCTTGTCAGTTCATCACACCGTACTTTAGCCTTCTGCTCGTAACATTAATTGGAATATCAACAAGGATAATCAAAATCACTGTGAGCGACCAGGAACGAAGGAATGAGGTCTGAGTCCACAATTCAGCGGGACAGATTGTGCATACGAGTCTCTTTAATAAGCGAATCTGTGTTACGTGAATTCCACAGGCAACGTCCATCATCTTCAGGGCCTCAAGACATTAAATAAAGAAATCCTTACTTCATCAATCATAAAACGTTAAGCTGCATTATGTATTTTTTGGGCCATTTGGAACAACGGGGTGAAAAGGGTGGCATGTTATTGCCTGAGTTGATATAGCTAACATGTTGGCAGGCAGTTGCGTCTTTACGCTTTGAGCAGACAAAACAAAAGCAACGTTAGCATTCATTTAGAGGCAGTTTTCACTGAAAACTGCCGCCTGTGGCTGAAGGGAATGAACGACTTTTTTACAGTACGCACAGTCATTTCATCCATTTTTAATGCAACGATATTGATGAGAGCAGCTTTAATCACATCATAAATAATCAAGACTGTGAGTATAAAGACCGGCGGCCTCCTCACGGCCTCTTAGCTTGTGCGACACTGAAATATGCAGGGTAGACTTAGGGCCCACAATGCATTGCCCTATTCAAGTTACAATGTTTCATGGCGCACATTAGCTCAAATGGTCCGAAGACATATTGGCTATTATCGCCACATTTCCTGTATCTCGCTCTCCAAAACAAGCAGGGGGGCTTTGACAGGAAGCAACGGGGTTAATGGAAAACACACGGCCTTAATGTTTTGGGAAAACGGTGTACTGTTTGTATTTATCAGTCTAAACAACATCTGTGATCTACCATAACTTTCTTATTGGCTTTAGCTCAGCTGGTCGTTACAGGCACCAGAGGACACGTGACACGGCACAGGCACTCCAGTGAGATTTGAAGGATACTGTTAAAATGTCAGCATGAAGAGCTTCTCTGTTGCTGTCATTTCAACACATAATATTTCCACAGCTTTAACACCTCCTGCTCTGCCCTCTCTGTACTTGGCTCCAGCTCAGGGCTGGACAAAGGCTTTGTACACACCACACACATTGAGAATACCAATACCGGGCTGTTTTTGATCTGCCGGCCCACAAAACCGGGGCTCAACCAGTAAATGTACAAATCCATCTGGTCCTGCGATCGATCCGTCTCCAGCTTGTCACGGGAGCTGAGCAGTGGAGCAAACACACAACACACCAGTCCTCCCGAGATAACATGTGCACAAGAAAACCCTCGGCCTTTTTAACAAACTAGGGTAACAGCTTCTCTGAAAGTCAGTGGATTTTGAGTAACATGTACGCAAGCTTGGTTAAGTTGCTCAGTGATCTTTTCACAGTGTGCATGCTGCGTACGTATCCAATTAATTAGCCTAAGGAGCTCTGATATTTTTGGAATTCAAGACTTTGATAATGATAGTTTTAAGATGATGATTCAGAGACGAACCACAACCTGAAATAGCAAAATCAACAGACTTGATCGCACGCCTGAATGTCATTTAATACATTAACAAAGTCTTTAAATAGCTAAAATATTTGTGAGTCACACTTGAGGCTGTTTCCTAAAACTACTGTAAGAGGAAATGTTTAAATCTAATGCAATGCTTGAAATGAGATTTGGGTTTTTTTTATTTACTTTTCACGATTTCTTTTTACACTCAATCTAAGTCAATGAGTAATTTATTAATTGAAAAAAAATAATTGTCATCTCATTTGATAATTGAAATAATTGTTGGTTGAAGCTGTATTGTGCTTTTGTATCAAAGATTTTGCATGAATACTTCGTTTTTTTTCCTATTTAGTGATCGTGTCGGCACAGAAAGCTTCTGGAGTTGCACTTACATGCATCACAACTTAAACTGAGACGACGAGTTGAACTGTAATTAATAGCATTGTTCAAACTAGAGGCCATCCTGCTATGGGATCACACCAGCCGCAATGCCAAATCAGACCAGGGGCTTTAAACTCAACATTCATTTTGATCTCAACCACACACCTGTAACGTTCCATAACCGGATCTCGCACAGTTGCGACACTATCGCGGTGACAAAATTTGCTCACAGACAGAATTAAAAACATCTGGCAAAGTAGTCCAAAGTGCTTCTGTGGTTGTTCCTGCTTCAGCAGGTGTCTCCAGGACCACATTTTGCCATGACGACTCACACACGCACACACACTCACAAGGGGAAAACAACACATGCGTCACTGTCGCTACTGGGAACAACCTAATTACTTGCAAACGCTGATTCATGCAGCCACAAAGAAACATCATAACATCATTCTTTGCTCTAAAATATCAGGCCGAAACAACGTGTTCCTGTTTTTTTGTGACACCTCGTGATGTTCATCCAACCCTAACATCACAAGTACAGACGGAAACACAGCCTCCCGCTTGGTGTGGATCGCTCGGCCTCCGGATGCTGCAGGTGTCAGTCGGCCCGACAGCTGCTGCATAGATCTCAGCAGAGCCACGATGAAATATTGCTGACAGGAGCCCTCTATGATCACGGCCTTTAAGGAAAATAGCACTTTGCTGACTAATGTAGTGGGAAGTTCAGGACAGTGGGCGGAGTAGAATGAGCTAACTCAGGCGAGGTGTGGCAGCCTGATGAACTGGAGGAGGTATGGTGGTAGGGAGGCTGCTGGGTGAGATTCAGTAATGCAGGGGTATAAAGCTGACCCTTATAATGTGTCTCATGGTGACTTTATCGTTATAGGACCCTTCTGTTCAACTATTTCCTCATGTGCTCTTTCCTAAAATAGCATAAAGTCCATTACGATAAGATAACACTGAAAATGCTGAGATCAGATTTGTTTTCAATACCTCTATCCAATGGTAAAATGTCAGCAACACTGTCCAATAAATAAGACTGTAAGGTCTTTGGATCATTTTATAGAAGTGTAGCATTAAACAACACTTAGCTGTGGTTCAAACCAAATGAATCAAACTCTCGCTGTAACTGGCATTCATTTAAACACAATTTTCAGATTCTCCATCAAACACTGATGAGTCACATGTTGAACAATGTGGTATTAGCAAAGCCCCGAGGGCTGCTGGGTAGTTGAGTTTACAGAAGGGACTGGATAGTTCACGTTCACTGTGCTGGTTTCAAGCCCAGCTGTCCTGTATTCCTCGTGGCCTACTACTTCCCCTCTTTCTCATAAGACCAGTACGGACCTTTAACCTTCATAATCCTACTGGCCCAGTGGTTAAAATGTACACTATATACCGTGATTACAGCGTTCCCCGTTCAGTTCTGTCTGGGAAA